CCCCCCCCCCCCATATATAAAGTGTGTTTGATGCGCCGTGCATTAATCACTGTCCCGTGTCTCCTCCAGACATCGATGACTGCAGCACCAGCCCGTGTCATAACGGCGGGACGTGTCGAGACCTGGTGACGGATTTCTTCTGCGAGTGTATGAACGGCTGGAAGGGGAAGACGTGCCGCTCCCGTAAGAGCGCCATCTTTTACTGTGTGTGTGTGTGTGGTGGTGTGTGTGTGTGTATTCACTCACTCACATTTTAAACGCTCCCTGCAGAACACAGTCAGTGCGACAAGACCACATGCAACAACAGAGGAACCTGCCAAGACGAGGGCGACACTTTCCAGTGCAGGTGTTCCCCGGGCTGGGAGGGGACGACCTGTAACATAGGTGAGTCACACACACACACACACACAGAGACACACACAGAGACACACACACACACAGAGACACAGTCACACACACACACACACACACACTGAGACACAGTCACACACACACTCTGTGGGAGAGCTCCGTCTCCTCTCTGATATTAATCTGATCTGTCAGATGTTAGAGGTCCACAAACAGATTTTATCGTCTCGCTCTGTCAGCGTTCCCTCCCTCCCCCGTCCCTCTGCTCGCCCATTCCTCCCTCTCCTGTGAGCGCTGACAGACGTCCGCTTAAAACCCCTGATTGCACTGACAATGCACTTCAAAGTGGAGGAATGCAAGATTCCCCTCGGAGAGAAAGGAAACCCCTGAAGAAGTTTCTAATCCCTGATGATCCTGTCTCTCTCTCTCTCTCTCTCTCTCTCCTCTCTCTCTCTCTCTCTCTCTCTCTCTGTCTCTCTCTCTGTCTGTCTCTCTCTCTCTGTCTCTCTCTCTCTCTCTCTCTGTCTCTCTCGCTCTCGCTCTCTCTCTCTCTCTCTCTCTCTCTCTCTCTCTCTCTCTCTCTCTCTCTCTCTCTCTCTCTCTCTCACAGCCAAAAACTCAAGTTGTCTTCCAAACCCGTGCGAGAACGGAGGAACCTGCGTGGTGGACAGGGAATCGTTCACCTGCGTCTGCAAAGAGGGCTGGGAGGGTCCCACGTGCACGCAGAGTAAGTGCTCTTCAAAGGGGGGGGGGGGTAGATAACGGTGGGACAGTTATTTCTGTTAAATGATGATAAAGCTGCTGCTGCTGCACGGTGCAGAGGTGAAGTCCTGCTCCTGATTAACTTCATCCTTACCTTCTTTATTTCTTCACTCTCACTGGCTGCTGGGAGGAGGAGGGAGAGAGGGGGGAGAGGGGCTCAGGGAAAGTGGAGACAGATGTCCCCCCCCCTCCTCACCCCTCTCTCGTTGTTACATTCCTGTCCAAACAGTGACATGTCTGCTTGTTCTGCAGCTCTCTATTTCCCTTTACGCTTAAATACTCTGAAAACATAAATTCCCCGACTTTAGTAAAGGGAGGGAGGAGGGGGTGAGGGGGGGTGAAACTGGGGAGGGGGGGGTGAAACTGGGAGTGGGGAGCTGAATTTTGATTTCTTAGGGTGAGAGTCAACTTGATTGTTTGCTCTGTTTCCGTGCATGAGGCAGAGTAATCGTGCAGTGCGGCGGCGGCGTCCGGGAACGACCGGCCCAACACGCCTCTGCACACGCAAGCCCAGACGTGCTCTCTCTCTCTGCTGTCACCAAACACACTCACTTTATTCTCTCTATTCTCTCTCTCTCTTTCAGATACCAACGACTGCAGTCCACACCCATGGTAAGTGATGTAAACAAGGTGCTCACCTGCAGCCGAGTTTCTCACCTGCAGGCTCTCTCTCTCTCTCTCTCTGTCTCTCTGTCTCTCTCTCTCTCTGTCTCTCTGTCTCTCTGTCTCTCTGTCTCTCTCTCTCTCTGTCTCTCTCCCTTTCTCTCTCTGTCTCTCTGTCTCTCTCTCTCTCTTTCCTTCTCTCTCTCTGTCTCTCTCTCTCTCTCTTTCCTTCTCTCTCTCTCTCTCTCGCTCTGTGTGAACCTCTCAGTCTCTCACCCCTCCCTGTCATTCCTCGGATGTAATCAGCTCTAACTCTCTTTTGTGAACTCCCAGACGCGACTCTTGTTTAACCGCACAGCGCTGCAGCTACACACACACACACACACACACACACACACACACACACTCATTCTCGTCTAATAAAGAGAACGAGTCTGATTGATTTAATTGCCTTCAATAAACTGTTATTATATGTTGACTGGTGAGAAAGTCTCAGGTTGAAGTGGAGTGATAGAGAGAAGTGTGATGGATGTTTCTGCAGAAGCCTGAAGGAACAAACTGAACTTTATCCTTTTTGTCTGTTCTGCAGCTACAACAGCGGGACGTGTGTGGACGGGGATAACTGGTACCGCTGCGAGTGCGCCGCAGGCTTCGCTGGTCCAGACTGTCGGATCAGTGAGTATTATCCCGCCCCTCCCTGGTCCCTGTTAGAGCAGGTCCAGGCCTCAGGACCGTCACAGTCGCCCCCCCAAATGGAAGGTCTAGCCGTCCAATTATCAGTGCGCTGGGCTGCGGGCTGGGCCGAGTCATGTCGGTGTCACCGGGCCGGCCCTGCTGAACCCCCCAGGGGTAAACCAGCTTAGCGAGCCAACAGCCAATCAGCCGCACTCTCTGACACTGATTACACAGATTGTTTTTCCTCTTAAAGGCTTTCAGATGGTCACATTCTTTCCCATTGCAGAGCCTTTGTTCTGTTAAGTCCGGCCTTTAGCGGCTGCATACCTGCTAATGATGCTGCTTTTAATAAAGTGTGTGTGTGCGTGCGTGCGTGCGTGCGTGTTTCTTACCCCCTCTCTTCTTCTTCTTCAGATATTAACGAGTGCCAGTCGTCTCCGTGTGCTTTCGGCTCCACCTGTGTGGATGAGATCAACGGGTATCGCTGCCTGTGTCCGCCCGACAGGACCGGAGCGCTCTGTCAAGAAGGTACAAAACTACACAATCAGTCGCTTCTCCTTTGGGGTCACGTGGGGGGCGGAGCCAATCCCAGCTGCAAAGGATTTCTTTTCCATATTTGTAAATCCCTGCAGAGATTCTATAGAATTTATCCAACTGTATCAGCCTGTTTACATTCAATCTCATCTTTTCAAATCAGTGATTACAAGTTCTTCACCTGTCACATATCTGAACTCCTTCTGTGATTCATTTTTTCAGTCTTTGCTTCATGAAGTGATTTTGGTGATTTATGTTTTTTTGTTTCCCACAGTGACGAGGAAGCCGTGCTCTGTGAACGGCCACGCCTTCCCCGATGGGGTCAAATGGGACGATGACTGCAACACGTGTCACTGCACCAACGGGAAGGTCGTGTGCACCAAGGTCAGTGTTTACAAACATCCTCTGCACGAGCAACAGGAAGTCGTCGTTAGAGGAAATGGTGATGAGACTCAGAGGTAGCGTGGGTGGCGGCGTGCGTCTCAGCTCTCGGGTCGGGTCACAACAACAGTGGGTGGGGCCGCGGGGAGGCGTCGCTGATGCAGCTTGTTTGAGATGACATGTGACACCTTTCTCTCCTGAGTCTCTTTCTTTATCGATCTGAACCGTGTCTCTGATGGCGCCCCCCTCAGGAGTAGACCCGTCATGACGTGGTGATCTCACGCTGTTACATCAGACGCTGATATGGGAACACGATTACACCAACAGAAACTCTTTTCATGAAGATTATAAAAAGCAGATTCCTCGACACGGAGCAAATCTTTACAGAGCGTCTGTGACCAAAGAAATCACCTGGACACACACACACACACACACACACACACACACACACAGCACTCTCTCTCCTCTGTAACGCCTCTCTTACTGCCTCTGAAGTGGGACGGGGGGGGGGGGTCACTTTGTCCCCCATTACGCCTCCATCACATTCAGATTGACAAAAAGACAAAAAGACAAAAAGACACGGGGACGTAGATGTGGTGGCTTGAAACGGCGCTCTGAACTCCATGGTGATGCTGCGGTTAAATTTGAAGGTCGTTTTGTCGTTATGTGAAAATGGACGACAAAGACCATCCATGCTTCAATTTCCAAAATCAAAACTCTGAATTTTTGAATGCAAAGTTCTTAAACTTGAGAACAAAGAGAGCCTGCAGCTGGATAGTTTCTCTATTCTCATCTTTGTATGCTAATGTTAGCTCGTTAGCACTTTTCAAAATCTTACACTCAGTGAGGTCAGGGAATCACTTTCTGTGCTCGTGTATAAAGTCTGTGACATTAACTCCTGACTCCTCCCCCTCCAGATGTGGTGTGGTCCCTCATCGTGCCACCTGGGGCTCAAAGGTCATGGCGGGTGTCCCTCAGGTCAGAGCTGCGTCCCCATCAGGGAGGGTCACTGCTTCGTCAAGCCCTGCGTCGGCTTAGGGGAGTGCTGGCGCTCCAACCCCCCACCGCCCTCCACCAAGTGCCACCCCAGCTCCGGTTTCCAGGACAACAGCTGCGCCAACATCACCTTCACCTTCAACAAGGAGACCATGCCTCCGGTGAGTCGAACTGAAGATCAGGGTTTCAAATCTGAAACGAAACTGAAAACAAAATATCTAAAAACGTAACCAGACGATTAAACAGGCGGCGTGCTCGAAACAAAAAAGACGCTGGGCGCTTCTCAGGGCGACCGTCTGATGCTGGAAACGCTCTCTACTCATTGAATTCTTTTTTTTTTTTTTTAGTCTTTCTATGTGATTTTTCACACTTAAATATAGAAATCAAGTCTCTCCTCTGAAAATAACTCTGTGAGTCATGACTGTCTACAATGGGTGTAACACCCGAGTCCCACTGTCTGTGATGTTTTCAGAGTTTTCAGAGTCCTATCTTCACTTTGTTTACATCGCCAGGACAGCCGGCTGACTCCTCCCCTCGTGTATAAAAGTTGTTTAATTGAGGGACTAGAGAAAAGAACAATAACATACTGTACTCACTGCTTAACTGTGTTTCTAGATCACGCTCATTTCAGGTAAATTTACATGCAGTGTGAAGATACCAGCAGAATAAAGATCGCTAGCATTAGCATGCTAACACAACAATGCAGCAGGAGTTGTTGTGTGCAGCCTCCGACTTCTCTCCGCTGCAGAATCTAAAGGAGAAAAAAGTTCTTCCCTCCTTTTTTTGTTAAAGTCTTCCAAGTTGTTGTTTTTTTTTTGTCCCTGAGAAGCCGTCATTCAGTGCTCCTGCCAGTCCCCCTCTTAGCCCCCCCCCCCCCCCCACACACACACACACACACACTTCAGGATTGATTTCAGGATCTTCTGGATCGGGACCTCTGGCAACGGCGTCACCACAGAGCCTCGTCTCCCTCCAGCTCACTAACAAGCAGAGAGCGTTGACAAGCGTGCGATGCCTGTGATCTAAACGAGGTGGATCTCGAGCAGATAGCATGTTGAAGCGTCTGCCAAAACCCCCCGAGGCTCGCTGTTCCCGTTTCCTTCCTGGTCAGTCTGTGACTTCCTGCTTCCTGTCTTTTCTTCCCGTGCAGAGTCTGACGGTGGAGGGCGTCTGTAAGCAGCTGAGGCGTTTGTACGTGGTGAAGAATTTCTCCTTGGAGCATTCAGTGTCTATAACCTGTGACCCCTCGTTCTCAGCCGGCAACGAGATCCACGTCTGCATCGTGAGTACCTCTCTCTCCTCGCTCGTCCCCGTCTGAATGCATACTGTGACAGATCCTCTTTGATTTATCGCCTGCAGCGTGCATTCTTCACAGCTTTAAGCCGTGCTCTAATGGGGGCGGGTTGTTTGCTGTCATCAGCTGACAGCGAGTCATAATCACACATTCAGAACGCAGACACATCTCTGAAATAATCATGTTGTGTTTTCTTTATTTTTTACATTTTTCTTTATTTCCATATATTTTTTAGTTCTGCTTTATTCCTGCATGTCTTTTTTTGTTGTCTTGCATTGATAGTGTTCCCCTTGTCTGGGATTGTTCCATTTCATTTATTGTTCTGTTGTAAAACATTTGAAAACAATAAAAATGTTGGTCATAAAAAAAACCAAAGCTGACAGATCTCTAACCTCACTTTTGTCCTCTAGTCGACCGAGGACCATCGCCTGGACCGGAGCCCCGTCAAGGAGCTCACAGACCGGATAATCGACCTGGTTAGCAAACGCAACGGAAACATCACCATCATCACCGCCATCGCAGAGGTGCGCGTGCCAAGCCCCAACAAAACTGGTATGAACCGCCTCCAAACACTCTGCCCGTGAAGTTTCTCAGGCTTGCACACACACGTAGAAAAAAGGGTGGGAAGATTTTTTTCTTTTTTTTTTTTAGTAGTCGAGCTTTGCAGAAAAGATCAGACGAGATGGAGCCGAGCCCCCGAGAGAGACGGCGAGCACGGGAGAGAAATGTGCATTTATGAAAAATAATTCCTGACCCCTCCATCATGACTCGGACCGCCCCCCCCCCCTGCCATCAGAGAATCTCTGCAGGGATTGGATGAGCTGTTTGGCTCCGTGTCTTTTAGATTGGCTTCCACAGACTCCCACATGTGTCCGCCATTCATCAACACGGTGACAGCAGACCGCCGCCACGGCCAAATAGTTCAGCCCTTCTCCTCTGTTCAGGGCTCAGAGGTCAGGTTGCACTGGCACAAAGTATGCTAATGATTTAGCATCCTGGCTGTAGCGACAGAATCAAAACGTTTAGTAGCATTGTTGAAGCTAAACCACCAGAATCCAAATCGTGAAACAGCCTGCTGACTCTGGACTTCAGGGTGTTTACGTTCAGAATAACGAGCGTCTGACAGCGAGGAAGACGAGTTTACAAACTGGTTAGAAATACTCAAGTTTCTGTCAAGTTTTTTTTTTTTTTTCAATTATTTCATTTTAATTCATTTTACCCCAAACTATAGACACACTGCAGACAGGACAGAACCATTCACAACCCAAAAGCTTGTTGTGGGCGGAGGAAGACAGCTGTCAATCAAAAAGTAGACGACCACACCCACAAGGTCTCACCTGCAGAATGAGCCTGAACATTTGTTTTACTCTCCATAGTTTCGACGTTAAACTGGAATTTCACTGAGTTTAGTATGACTGAATAATAATCAGCTGTGGCTCAGTGGTTGAGTTGCTCGTCTGATGGTCGGGTGTTTGAGTCTCTCCCTGGCGGCTGACCTTTGACCCTTCTTTTTTTTCAGACTACCTGGTGCCCCTCCTCAGCTCAGTCTTCATCGTCATCTGGGTCCTCGTGCTGGTCTCCATCCTGCTGTGGTGCATGCGTCGCCGGCGGAAACAGGGCAACCACAACGGGACGGCGGTCGCCGGCGCCGAGGACAACACGACCACCAACAACGTGCGCGAGCAGCTGAACCAGATCAAGAACCCGATAGAGAAGCCCGCGGGCCTCTCGGTGGCCATCAAGGACTACGAGAACAAGAACTCCATCATCGCCAAAATAAGGACAAATCACCCCGAGGGGGACGAGGACGACAAGGAGAGGCACTTACAGAAGGGCCGCTTCGCCAAACAGCCGGCGTACACACTGGTGGAGCGGGACGAGAAGGCGCCCGTCTCCAACGCCAACTCCACGTCCAAAAACCCGAACTGGACTAACAAACAGGACAACAGAGACTTGGAGACGGCCAACAGCATCAACAGGATGGACTACATCGTATAGCAGACAGCTGTGTTGCCGTGCAACCAAGCCTAATGCCTTCACACCCCGGTGGTGGGTGGAGCGAGGGGAGGGGGGGGGGGGGGGCGCGGCGGTGACCCCGCAGTATTCCCCGTGTTAATTTAAGTTTTGACAAGCTGGCTTACACTGGCAGTGACGGTTGCTTTGGTTGGCTGGAGACACGAGGCACTGGTAAACATTTCACTGTAGACGTTCTTCCAACATGTCCGCCTCTGCATTTCACTTCTTCTTCTGTTTTTAAAACGAGCGGACACGTGGAAAGCGGCGCCCGGCGTGATTGTTGTGACAATGACTAAAAAACGACCCGACGTGTTGAAACGACACTCGAGCGAGCTCTTCCCACTTTGTGTTTTCTTTTTCTACACCCGCTTGGAGGAAAGTGCCTTTTCAGCTTTTAGACTTCAGCAACTGTCGAGAAATGAGAAAAAAAAGATCAACTCTATTATTTATTTTTATTTTGGGGGGGGGATGACCTGCGGGGGGGGATGACCTGCGGGGGGGGGGGGGAGTTCAATGTCAGCAGTTGCTGCCAATATGAAGAATTTATGTGTCGATTTAGATCCTGTAGATATGTACATTTTTTTTATTAATCATTGTGTATATTTGATTTATTAACTTAATAATCAAGAGCCTTAAGATATCATTCCTTTTTATTTATATGTTCTGTCTAGTTTGAAGGTTTGGATCGCCGTGGAAACCGACCATTTCTTTCATTACTTTTTTTTAAGCCAAATTTTTCAAAGCAGACAAAGGACGGGCGCTTTTTCACGCCCGAGAGAGAAAGACGTTTCCATTCTGTTTCACACTTTTTCACATTTCATTATTTGTTGCCGCGACCTCGGTCGAAGACGACAGAACGCCACGGCTGCTGCGAGGGGACGCACATGGCGGCAGACATATTGCTTGCCGCTAATGGATTAATACTTAAGGGAACAAAACAAAAGAAAAATCCTTCTGCAGCTTAAACCCATCGACACATTTCAAAAGGCTGTGCGTGGCGAGCGGCGTCAACACGCCACGCCCACGGTTCCCATCTGCTTTAGGCGGCGTGGATCTCCTGAGCTCGGAGCGTGAGTACTTGAAGAGAAGGGGGGGGGGGGGCGATGGGAACACACTGCCAGAGTCCGCTTTGTTTCTGTGCACATTTTGTTTCTTTTTAAAAAAAAACTTCCTGAGGCTCTTAAAGACAAACATGTTTTATCTCATCTGTCAACGCTTTGAGATCACGCCGACATTTTGTCCCTTTTTTGACTTTGTGTTATGAACTTGAGAATTATGTGTTGATCTGGCAATATATTTTTGAAAGTCATATTTATTAAATATTTTGTATGAAAAGAGAATTAAAGTTGTCTTTGTTCATGAGAGAGAGTAACGAGTCTGTCTGTGACGCATCCAGACCGCCGCTGCTGCCATGGCAACCGCCGCTGGAGACGCATCGTAGACCCCGAGCGCGGTCTCTGTTTCGATGTGTTTACGGCTCCTCGAGCTCAAGTCAGTCCTGGACACCTGCAGAAAAGTATTTCCTGGAGAAGCCGAATTTGTAGATATCTAGATATTTTCAGATTGTGACAGCGGCTTTAGATACCCGCGCTCGTCATGATCCTCTTATTGACTCGTTTGGATTTAAACCGAAAATGTTTGAAACAAGCAGCCGGAGACGCCTTCTCGTGTGGCGTTTGTAACTGATGAAGATCTTCTTAAAGATCTGTTTAAAAGGATTAAAGCCGAGGCGGGAGATTATCAGCACCTCTTGAACATATACAGGCTTTAAGACGGTGATGGTCACGTTCACTAATCCACCGCGTCGTCTCCGTCATGATGACAGAATCTGCTGCAGACGCCTTGCAAAGAGCGCTTCTCACCAGCGCTTCCTGTTGCTAGGTTACAAAGTTTCAAATAGCTCTGTATGCTAAAGTTTAAGGCATCTGCAGCAGCTTTAGACCTGAACTTAAATCCTCAAAAAGACCGATTAGTTTCTCCTCCGCCATTGTTGTTGACAGAGCTGATACCAGAAGTCCCGCCCTGTACTTGATTTTGATTGGTCAGTCTCAGTGAGACTGCAGCGACAACAAAACAGCTGATGCCGAGGTCGTTTGAGCACCTAGGACATAAACCCTGCCTTGATTAAGTCAAGAAGACCAAAACGCTGTCAGCTGACACTGTCGACTCTTACTCATTAAACTACTGGCCAATCCCAAACCGACAGGGCCGTTAGCCAATCCAGACGGAATGTTGCTGATCTACAGTTTATTGGAAGAGTTATCAGATTATTTTTACAAAGACTCTGAGATTCTATTTCACTGGAAAAACAAAATTTATTTACAATTTAAAATGACTTTCCAAGAGAGTAAAACACGGTGATGTTTGCAGGCAGCATGATGTCATCAAGTCGGTCATGTTGGGGTTTAAACCGGGTTATGATGAGTGACTGGAAGGGTGACGACAGCAGCTCCATTTTAACCTGCGATACTGTAGACATCCTGCTGTTTCCATAAACAACGACAACGCTGCGGGTTCAAATTCAATAAAAAGACTCAGATTTAGAGATTCATTTCAGGTGCTTAGCAACTAAGCGTTGAGCTAATTGTGTATGGATGAGATGCAACAACGAAAAGTACATTTTGGAGAGACGGGGTGCTGAAATATTTCTGGAAAGAGCAATCAATCAGCGCCAAGCTTCAGCGGGGAGACCGGACAGTTTTGAGACACTTAGGAGCCAGAGCTTCAGACTCAGAGCCATGACGTACTGCTCGGCTCCTGCCTGTCTGAAATCCACAATCTCACACACAGAACCAAATCTAAACTCCAATTAAAGGTTTTTGACTTTCATTTGCGAGCCTCTCTTGACCACCACTACTTATGGGTGGAGTGTTAGAGTGTGTGTGTGTGTGTGTGTGTGTGTGTGTGTGTGTGTGTGTGTGTGTGTGTGTGTGTGTGTGTGTGGGCTCTGCGTGTACAGCACATGTGAAAAGAATAAATGTTGCAGTAAAAAGTGACACATGTACAAAATGCATCTGGAGTAAACATGCAGCCTGACACAATATCATCTCTATCTCTGTGTGGCGTCAGACATCTTTACTGTACCGCGGCGCCCCCCCCCCCCCTCCTCCCCTCAGGACCTCTTCTGTCGTCGTAATCTGGAGGTTCTGGGCACATTCTTGCTCCCTTCCTCTGTGAGTGTGGATCTGGAACTAATAGAGGAGCCTGAGGATGCAGGCTTGACAGATAGGCCCCTCAGACTTGCGGGCAGCCTGTTTTGGTTTGTCTGTGCCGTGTTATTGCTTGTGAGGGGGGGGCTCTGGGCCCGTTTCCCTGGAGTAAGCAGCTCCACTTCCACTGTGGTTTTGCTGCGCTCTGAGACTGGGAGATCCTTGGACTCTGCGTCAGCTAGAGGAAGGGGCTGCAGAGGAGGAGGGTCATGCTTGAGTGTTTGTGTGGAGCCCTTGTTGGAGGGGGTCTGCGTCGCGGCTGGAGGTCTTCCAAGGCACGTCCTCTTGGCCTTCTGCGGGTGAGGGTCTTCTTCCCCTGGATCACTCGGCTTGCTCCTCTTGCTCCTGCTTGTCTCCTGACTGATTGCATGTTGGCAGGAAGCTATGGAGGCCCCACGTGGGTCGGGTCTGTCTGGAGGACTACTCTCAGCCTGCTGCTCCCGGGTCTGGCCCCACTTCACAATCTGAGCTCCAGCTTCATTTAAGGCTCTGGGGACCGGCTCCTGGTGGTCTGCCGCCTTCTCTTCAGAGCTGGACTCAGTCTCTTTGGGGCTTAATTCTGACTCTCTATGTTCCCCTCTTTGGTTTCTGGGCCAGGCTCTCTGGTCCATCAGCCGCTCCCCCGTGCTGGAGCCACAGCGCTCTCGTTGGACACTGGCTTGTTTGGCTCTGAGAAAAAGTGAAAAGGAAACGAGGATGTGAGCAGATACTCGAGTGTCCTCTCTTGACTGACGGGGGTTGGAAAAGGTTCTGCGTTAGAGCATACTTACATCTTTTGAAGTGCAGTCTTCTTTGTTTTTGTGGAGCTGTTTAACGGCTCTTGGGTTTCTCCCACTCTGGAAAAATACTCCGATCTGCTTTGTTCCTTCTGCTCGCTCTACGGAGGACAAACAGAGTCAACACAAAGAAGTATTATTCCTGGCGTCGCCTGGAAAGGTTTGATTTGTCTTCTCCAACAATGATAATGTGATGAATTCAATTAAAAGATAAAATAATCAGAGGATCAGGTTCTGAACATTGACCCTCCTGTGTTCCAGACTGTTACCTCATCATCTGAATTATGATTTATGTTGTTCTATAACGCCTTTAAAGACACTCACTCACTCCCCAGATGGCACAGAGGATTAGTCCCTCACTTACTGCTGTCAGGAGCAACCACCTCAAAGGCTTTGAAAATAATCAGCGTCTTGTCAGAGTGTGACGTGTTCCTCTGCTGTCTGAGGTTTAAAGTGAAGCTCGCAGCCTGAGGCACAGTTACTAAATGGTTAAACTGTGTTGACAAGTTAAAACAGAGATTAAAGCGGGATCATTAAGAGATGATGGAGCGAGGCAGAGGAAAAATACAACTGAGGCTCCTTCATGTAAAAAAAGCAAATAGAACGTCTCATGAGATAAAAACATTTGTAAGGAAAGCGTTATTGTTCGTTGACTTCAGCGGTTTTCACTCCTGAAAATGTGATGTTGCTTGGTCATATGTGTTTCTGACCGGAGAGGAAGGGGTGGGGAGCTGGGAGCAAGGTGCAACAAACTCTGGTGTTGAAAATGAAGCCAATGCTACGCTCTGCCAATGAAAGGCGTCTGATCCAACCTTCACAACAGGGTCCTAAGTCTCTGACTAGACTCTTCTCCTCTGTCGCCCCCCGGTGGTGGAATGAACTTCCAAACTCCCTCTGCTCCTTTAAGAAAAAGCTAAAGACCCAGCTCTTTCATGAATACCTACTAACTTAATGATGATGGTCTCCATATTATTGATGATGATGATGGTAATGACGATGGTTTTTGTTTGATAACGACGACTTATAAGATGGTTTCTATACTGATTAGAGCTCTCAAGAACTGCCCTCAATGTTGTGCTTTGCCTCTGGTCACTTCCTGTCAGCACCTGTGTGTCCAATCAGACTCAAAGCTGATCGTTTGCTCTTACTCACATTGTTCCCTTTTTTCTAGATCCTTGCTTGTGTTGTTCTTACTCTCTGATGTACGTCGCTCTGGATAAAAGAGTCTGATAAGTGAATTGTAGAATTGTAGATGCTGAAGTGTAAAATCCTGTAGTTCCTGGAGTGTCCACTAGAGGCTGGCTGCAGAAGCACAGGAAGTCACATACACACCCATTCTAAAAAGCCTGTTTTTACAGCAGAGATGAACATGTTTACAGCCTGGTTCAAAAAACCAAATAGGTGTGATTAGCTCATGTCTGGATGGACACACACTGTACGGGGGGTGAATGTTTTGATGACTCATCAGTTT